AGGGGCCACCACCGAGAAGGCCCTGCTCCTCGTCCCCACCAATCTCACTTGTGATAGAGGTGGGATCGAGAGAAGGGCCTCCTCAGAAGATCTCAAACTCCGAGGTGGGACATAGAGCGAGATGCGTTCGGACAGGTACACTGGGCCGGAGCCGTATAGGATTTTGTAGGTCAGAACCAGCACTTTGAATTGTGCTCGGAACTGGATCGGCAGCCAGTGGAGCTGACATAACAGAGGGGTGGTATGCTCCCTGTATGACGCTCCGGTGACTAATCTATCCTGATGATCGTGCCATTACTGCTCAAGCAGGGAGCTTTGAGATGGTAAAACAGAGGCTTTCCGAAGCTCTACGTCAGGGGTCCTCAAACTAAGGCCCGGGGGCCGGATACGGCCCTCCAAAGTAATTTACCTGGCCCTCACTCAGGGTCAACCTAAGTCTGAAAAGACTTAAAAGCACACAACAACAACAATCCTATCTCATCAACCAAAAGTAGGCCCACGCGTCCCATTGAAATACTAATAAGTTCATATTTGTTAAAATTGAACTTCATTTTAATTATTGTATTGTTTTAAGTGTGTTTTTTTCACTACAAATAAGATATGTGCAGTGTGCATAGGAACTCATTCATGGTTTTTTTTTTGTTGTCAAATTATAATCCGGCCCTCCAACAGTTTGAAGGATTGTGACCTGGCCCTCTGTTTAAAATGTTCGAGAACCCCTGGTCTACAACATGAAACAAATCTTGGGAGCCATGCTTTGTCCATTCCTGAGTAAATGGAGATGCTTTTTCCTTAGCTCTGATTACCGTTTTCTCACCTAGCCGCAACCTACGGATGCATTGTTAGCTGCCTTACGAGAGTAATAAATATCCCCGCCGAACCTTTTAGCTGCAGAAAAGGCTGTGTGTGTTTCAGTGATCTGGCTGCTTAGAACTGCGGGGAAAATAGAAACCGGTGATTTTTCCATCTTCAAAGGAGGCCATCGCATTGCGAGATGGATGGCCACAGACAATGCGCGGAACAAAGAGGTACATGCTTGCGTCAGGTCACATTGTTAGGAAAGTGCGTTGGACGGCTTGACGGCAATGGCGAGGACAGGAATAATAG